TTCAGACTTTCTAGGCGCTTTTGCACTACGGCCAATATTTCTTTTACGAGACTTCAATAAAAGTCATATTCGATCGATATCCCATATCGTAAAGTATCGAATGTGTTTTTTTGTTTTCGTTACGAGTCTCATGAAATTTATTTTTGGAATGGGGTTTTGTTGAAATGCCGTTTTACCGGAAAATTAATACCTATACCTAAAGCTACCACGTACCAATAAAGATTAGTGTACGAGCCTATTTCGGTCTGCTTGTTTATTTTCGTATTGGAATTGGTAAACCGAGAAACTCATATGTTATTGTTTAATATTGGACTGGCGCCAAACAGAACCTGCGAAAACGTTACCATAGCCATATAACCACAAATTATTACGCAGGGGCATTGCGAAATGCGAGTTTTCCTATTATTGACGGGTGACAAACAAGAACTGCGGCGATATATGTCACGTAGACGGTACAAAGTGTTAAAACAATATTTAAACAATCTGTGACAAAAATAGAACTTGGTTTAACCTTTTCAGAACACATTGAAGTTTTTGAAAAATGTCCCACTTGTTCAATATCTTCGAAGAAGTTTGAGGAAAATGATAAAAAACTAAATATGCAGGGTGCTACAAAAAAGTGACATTCTGTATTTCGAAAAGAGGCTTTGAAATGAAAAGTGTCACAAAAAAAACTATTTTCGTTCTTTGAATCTATGGTTAACTGCTTGTCCTATTTTTTTGTAAGACATTAACCTTGTTTACCCATAAATCCACTTTTATGTCAGTGACTTCTTTCAATGACGAACTTTTCTAATTTTATTTTCCTTTAATTTACAGCATCGATCAAAATATATTTTTCAGATCAATACTTGGTCCTTGACACATTTTGCCTCGCGATACGAAAAAATGTATACCTAAATTCAATCACAGCCATTTTAAATAAATAAATATTTATATATTCGTGTTAAAATGTAAGCAACGTATTTGAGACGGAAATGAGAAAATTACAAAATACGTCAAACGTTTATTGTTGCAGCTATACACGTTTAGTTTTATTGGATGTTGATACTTGCATATTTGTTCATCGTATTGTATTAACTTTCAGTATTTTAAGTGTCGGAGTATTATAAAGTTTTAAAAATGCTGCTGATTCTCTTTGCTTACTTCAGTGGGCAGTCTGTTGAATTACGTTTCGGCGATCAATTTGCATAATGTTGGTGGAAAAGTATTTTCGAAGCAATCAAATACAAACGTGATGAAACCAGTAAGTTTTGATTAAAAAATGTGGTTTTATAACATTACCATCTCTTTTTGTGTTTATTACAAACATTAACATTTGGAATGTAAAGATTACTATAAAGTCCCTAACATTGAAAACTTTTCAGATCGTATCGATATGCAAACACGTATTAATTTAACATTTAAGTAGATATCTATACAAATGTGTAGAAAAGTTAGTATTATAATTAATCTGCTATTATTTATAGTTACATAGTATTATTTTTGAAAATACATAGAAGGTACTAGCGACGTTGCAAATTTTCAAGGTCAAAACGAACAAAAAAAAAACGGGTAACATTTTTACTTAAAACGATTCCTAGGAAATGATAAAAAATTTATATATTTAAGAGTAATATTTGTATTTTTACAGTAAATAGTACAAATAGTATACAGGGTGTGGCATTTAACACTCACGCTGCCAATAACTCCGAAATGAAGAAATTTATTTTAGTTCCGGAAATTGGGGTTGTTCGATCCCTCGAATCTCGAATAGCTTCAAATTCTAGTTAGAACTGTTAGTTCAAATCTTTCTGTATAGATGGCGTAGTGATACTAAAAAATTTGTTGATTCCTGGAACGTGGAAGAGTCCATGAAAGATCGTTAAATTTTGAATAATTTTTATAATATAAAGTTTTTCCCTATATTTACTTGTTTTCGAGATATGTCGACTTCAATATAGGTAGGTACAATGTATGATATAACAGGAAAACCATTATTTTATCTAAATCACACAAAAATACTCTTTTAAAATATTGTTATAATGACTTTATTCACACCACATACTAACTAACAAACAATAAATTATAAAAAAAAAAACAAATGATCAACTACAGAAAAAAATTGTACAATAGTAAATCTTATAACTAGTATAGTTAAATTGAAAGACGCAAACTGATAAAAGTGTAATAATTGGAAAACTAAATGTGTCATCTGTCATTGTTTTATTTTAAACAAATAACATGAGCCACCTATGACTGCATTTTTTAATAACATTTGATAGAATAGGGTTTGTCTCTGCATCTTGTAAGATTTACCATTTACATTTTTTTCCTGTATTTGATCATTCGTTTTTTTTTATAACTTATTGTTTGTTAGTTAGTATGTGATGTGAATAAAGCCATTATAACAATGTTTTAAAAGAATATTTTGTCTCAGTGTGATTTAAATAAAATAATAGATTTTCCTGTTATATCATACATTGCATATTGAACACATATCTCGAAAACAAGTAATTATAGGGAAAACAAAAATTACTCAAATTTAACGATGTTTCAGATGGACTGCATTTCTGCAGTTCCAAGAATCAAAAATTTTTTTAGTATCGTCACGCCATCTATACAGAAAGATTTGAACGAACAATTCTAACTACAATTTGAAGCTATTCGAGGGACGTAACAACCCTAATTTCCGGAACTAAAATAAATTTCTTCATTGGTCAATTTCAAAACTGATCTGGATGCTCAAAGGATTTGTATTCGTATTTAAATCAAAGAATTCACAACGTAAAATTTTATTTTCAATTTGCATGGGCGTAGCTGGGGGGGGGGGAAGTAAATATTTGTCATATCATGTAAATTTGTGTTGTGTTTGGTATAAAAACTCAAAAAATTGAACTCACTCAACAAAAACTCAAGACTTTTTCAAATTAATTAATAATTATTTTCAGTGATGAGAAAACAATAATAATAAGTCCTTAAAAAACTCTCTCGATATTTATACGTTTTTTCTCATCACTAATTTAAGAAACCATTTAATTTTACTTCGTCTTTCTCCAAAATCAGTAACATTGCATTACCAGATTCCGGACCCACTCGACCCCTAAGCCTAAAATAAGTAAAAAATGCCCTGCCTCGTCCAGACCACTCTGAAAATTACATCTTTTCACATAATTTCACCCACTTGCCTGTTTCTGTCAAATCTTATAAAAGATAATAAGGTCTTTCGTAACGATGTGATGCTAACGAAGTTCAGTAAACGTTTCTGAACGAGCAACATAAAATATTACAGTGTTATACAAGTTTATAAAGTGGGAGCACTTATTTGCATATTTAAATTGACGTTAAGTGTCTCACGAACCGTATAATTAAATATTTAATACCTTTCCGTAATATGTTTAGATTTGCTTAAAAAGCAGCAGAAACTGATAACATTAAGAATTCGCTATACAGGGTGTTCTACAAGATCTACGACAAACTTTGACAGATGGTACCTAGGTTAATTTCAAACATTTTTTTTTATATGAACATATGTCCGACTCGCTTTTGTTTAGAAGCTACAAGCATTTTAAAAGGTCTAATTTCATATCTCAATCGAAACAGTCTGATAAATAAAATTTATGATTACTATAATAATAGGTAATTACACAGGGCAACAATTTTCACACCCAAAACCCAGACCTCAGTTGCCCGAAGGTTTTTGGTGCATAAAATCCGAATCTGTCGTCAGAATTGCTCCTATACGTCACGTTTCCGAGATATCCTAACCTAAAAGTGCAAAAAACACGTTTTTTTGCTGTATTTGAGCTTATTTTTTTTTTAAACGAATTATGTCCTCTAAAACTACCACTCTTACCCTTCAAAACGCTTTTTTCAGATTTGAGAAGTCTTTTTTATTCGCGGAGATATCGTTCAGTGAAGTTAGGTACTTTAGCGTTTTTATAATAGTGGTACTAAAATTGAAAAAAGTTCATCAAAAAGCGGAAGTAATATATTTACATGTTTTTTGGGTCGCCCAATCCGAATCTGATCTCCAAATTATTCTATCACTTTAGGATTCTGAGATTTCTTAATCTAAAACTGCAAAATCAACGATTTTTGGTTGAACTATCGGTATTAACCTCTATAACTCTAACACGGAGCCACTTAACATAGAAGCAGGTAACCTGCAAACACTATATCCACAACTTAAGGGCACAATAATCTCTACCACAATAACTACTACCTGCCCACGACAGGTTAACCTAAGTGCACCTGCAAACGCTACACCCCAGTTGGGTTGATTTTGCAGTTTTAGGTTAGGAAATCTCAGAATCCTAAAGTGATAATTTGGAGGTCAGATTCGGATTAAGTGACCCAAAAAACATACGCTTTCTGAAGAACTTTTATCGATTTTAGTACCACTGTTATGAAAACGCTAAAGTACCTAACTTCATTCAATGATATCTCCGCGAATAAAAAAGTTTTTACAAATCTGAAAAAAGCATTTTGAAGGGTAAGGGTGGTAGTTTTAGAGGGCATGATTTGTTTTTAGAAAACAAAATCTCTCTGTCATATAAGCTCAGATATTGCACTTTTAGGTTAGGATGTGACGTATAGGAGCAATTCTGACGCCGGATTTGGATTCTGCGCACCAAAAACCTTTGGGCAAGCGAGGTCTGGTTTTTGGGTGTGACCTTTCGTCAAATTTTGTTGCCCTGTGTTATTATTTGTGTTTAAAGTATTTTCTAGCTACTGTAATTAACGACATATACTTTGTGGATTCTAAGATTCCGATATCAATAGCAAGTTTTTTGTGCTTCTAGTTTATTGTAGGGTGATTTTAACAAAAGTACATATCTTTTTTCTATTTCTGTGCTTTTTATATGAAATGCCCGACATTTTTTGTCGACTTTAAACTTGATTTGTATAAGTTTTTTTACATACTCATTTAACGGTTCATAAATTTCGGCGCATCCTCCATAAATTTCAGAACACTAAGAAAACAATCCGAAAATTTACATGCCCGTTTTCTGTTGCAGACGTTGAAGAACTGTCAGCCAAATTAAGTTTGATGGCTGCAGCCAGCAGCGAGAAGGGCGAATTTTTGGATCCGGCGGGAATAGGACCCATGGGTGAAAACTACCTCAATAGCAGATGCGTCTATTTGGAGCAACTGCTCAGCGGTAAGATTTTCAGATTACACACAACGAAAATTCGAGTCACTCGAAACGGCACGAGCCCGCTTTCAATTAACTACAATTGTCGATGACTTGGTGGCAGTCTGAAAGTCGTTCGGTCCAGACAGACATAAACACGATAATTCCATTCCCATGCTGTGACGGTGGCTCGAATTACACAAGACAACAAAGGGGACAAATCCGCTGAACTATTATCGAGTCTGGCGGTGAATACTTATGAGCTACGGAGTGAGCCAAAAAAATGGAGCGATGGTGCGATTGAATAAAAAAAAATAAAATTTTAATACTATTCCACAATGAAAATTAATGCGAACTATACGAAATAATTTTGCTAATGTGATTTATAGATAAAAATGTGATCTCCTGTAGAGATGTCTCGTAAAAAACAGCACTTGATTTCTCCTTAATGGTGAATCAAAATTGAACTTAACTTTACAACTGCACAAAAAAAAATTACATAAAACAGCGCTGGTTTACCCCTTTTTAACTACCTCTAACAAAATGCCCAAAGTTGTATTTGTTTACTTTGTTCTCTCCACAACTGAATTATTACCTGCCAAGGCATTTACCGATAAACCAGATTAACAAATTTACAAAATAACATAGGATTAAATATACGCTTAAATCGGATTGTATTAAATTTATTATTTTCGTTTTATATTTATTTCAATTCAGCTGTCTCGTTTAAGAGAGGAATGAAAATTCATCGAAATATAATATCTCCCCGCTTTCAAACTTAAGGTTCGAATGCAATTCGTCATATTTGCAGCAAATCCATTTTTCTAAAACCGCCTAATAGCTTCTATTCCATACAGTAAAGGAATAAAAGAATTCTTCAAAGCAAACTTTGAACCAAAATAATACTTGTAGTTCTATGTGCGCTTTTCTGAGAAGTTCAAAACGTTTTCCTGATTTCAATTTCGATTTGAATCGGTCTAAAATATCAGTTCTTAATAAGCATGTAATTCCTGGTTCGTCTAAATCCAACAGAATGTTTGTCGAGTTACGTAAACTAGTTCCAAGTTATTTTCAAACGAGGAATATTTGCATATTTCCGGTTATATTTTGATTAGTGTATATTGTTGCAGTTTTCTACAGATTTTTTAATTAGTTTATTTGATATACGATTCAAAGTAGTTTTTCAATAATTTCACGTAAAACAATGACGAAATTTTTAGAAAGGATTTTTTCAGTCCTAAAAGTAGGTAAACCGAAATGTAGGGTAAAAAAATTGTTTTACAGTTACTATTCGATGATTTAAAATTTTTATAGATTCATAGAAAGCAGTATTTAAGAAATTCGTTTGTTACGTTTAGTTCTAAAGAAGCAGCACAGTCGACGCCTTCAGATCTCAAAACACGTATCACAAAGAGAGGCGACTTGTTGATTAAATTGTTAAATTAAGACAATAAATAATATTAGCAAACGCCTAACGTATCAGGTCTCAGGATGATTCCTAGATTTTGAGGGTCTACAAAGGTCGAAATTTTAGACAAGCTTCAGCCTTAACTTTCTTATCTGATACGTAAGAGATAAATGTAGTCAAAAATTGCAAATCTTACAAATACATAAATAATTAATGAATAGACAAAAATTTGGTTCTACATATTTCAGCGGATTTGGCCTTTTTAAAAAACAGACCGTCGAACATAACTGATACTTTTTTTTTCAGTGAGAAAAGATGGAAGCAAAAGCGGCACCCTACCGAAAGGAAATGTGTATATAGAAGAGACAAATTCAAAAACATAGTTCAGATTGTCTGAAGAAATGAAAAAAACATTTTGAATGTAATTGCGTCAGTTTCAGTGACGATACTAATGGTTCTGATGTAGATAGAAGTCATATATTAAGGCCTGTAAAACCAGGTCGTCCAATTTGCATCGTGGATGCTGATTTTATAGTATTTTTAATGTATACTTATACCAGTATTATACAGAAGTAAAATGTATAAAATTACCTCAATTGTAATAAAATCGAAGGGATAGAATTAATCAAATATTGCGTTATTGGTATTACTAACAAAAAAAAAAATTTGGAAATGTTTTTATTAATACGTGTAAAAATTATTTTGAATGTTTCAAATAAACCATTACCTAATTTATACTGTTTATTAAACAGACATGTATTTTCATATATTCCTAAATCAGGGCTTAATATATGTACCTATAAATCCCAAGTACAAGTTGTTTAAATTCTTTTTGTAAATTTAGTAGGTATACTGTATTTATTTGTGTATTAGAAAATAGTATGTACTATCTCTAATTACCTCTATGTATTTTTTTGTTTTGTAGATAATGAAAATTGTATTTATTTAAAATTATATATGTAAATTATTGCCAATAAAATGTTATTTATTTTATTTTGATTTAGTTATATTTACCTCTTGACACTCTTGGCACCCCGAACCACTCCTCAAATAAAGCAAAAGAGCAGAGTATGAATGAACTTTGGGGCCTACATTTGCCGTGTTGACATCCGAATTAAATATCTGGGCTCCAGAAATAAAATATATCCATCAGAGCCAACAGCTGGCATTTGAAATGTTCGTTAAAAATGATTATTACTTTTCTAGAAATCAATTTACGACGCGTGAATATACAAGGTGGCCCTAAAGTATATTTTGATGATAAAGGAGGTGATTATTTTGTTTACTCAGCTGGCAAGGCTATGAATAAGAATATCTAATACAATTTTTATAGGCAAAATATTAGGTTACTCTCATTTTTTAAATTAAGGGAATAAAGGGATTTAAGGGATTTAAGTATAAATTAATTCCCACATACCCTGTCACCTGATTGACTGTAATTAATTAAATAAATAATGAGCTAAAATTCCTCAAGGAAGGGAGGGTCAAGTTTTCTTTGAACCCCACTGTATATCTATTTTATCGCCATTTTAATGTTTCTGATGAGAGTACGTAATTCATCTTTAGACATAGGAAATAGAGTTTCACCAATCAATAACAGACATAAATATTGACTGGCGAACTTAATGACCTTTCAAAATATTTGCACATTAACAACTACTACCAGGTGCTGCTCTCTGCAGAAAACTAATTTCCGGTGTTAAAAAATAAGTAAGTATATCCGTTCCCTTAATTACGAAAATAGAATACTTGTAACCTTTAGAGAACGACTTCATTCATAGACAATTCCGTACGTAGAGGCGGGAAAGAAGATGATAAAAATAAGATTAATAAATAGATAAAGGAGAAAACTAAATTACTTACCTCTTGTCCCTTGAACTTTGCTATAATGAGAAATAGTACGCAATGAATGATTTACGGGGTATCAGTATCAAAAAATATATAAATTTTTAATCTTGATTTGAATTGAGTAATACGTTTTAATGTAAAGTAAAAAATTAGAATGCAAACGTATTTAAAAAAAGACAAATTTCATAGACACTCATACAAAAATATGGCATATACAATAAGAATTAAGAGTATCCAGGACCTACCATACTTATACAACCCACAATACAGATGTGTATCGTCAATTCCTAATAGACGGCGTAAAAAATGTGTACTGGCTGCAAGAATAAAACGGTTTCCTTGTCGAAATTTAAGAATTTTGTTTCATACAAACATTTGCCCTCAAAAGAAAATATTGAAACAAAATTTTATGCCAACAAATATGCAACATATAACGCGAAAAAATTAAGTCAGCTCAAACCGATGGAAAAAAACTGGAAAGACGAATTTTATTTTGAATTAAAATTATTTCAAATTTTTTACAATGTTTTTATTGTTTTGGTACAAATTCGCAATTTGTAAATATGATAAATTTAGATTCCTAAATTCAGATGATTCTGCGGATATCCTTTATTTAAACTTTAACACCCTGTATCTCAAGTTGAAGGCTTCAAGGCAAATATCGAAATAAGAAAATACTCTTAAATTTGGATAAAGAAAAAGCTGCTATAGGTATACTTTTGACACGTTGTATAATTCTAAATTTATTTACTACATTACTAGATACTGGAACACTTCTTTGAAATACCTGAGAACAGACACTTTATTTTGTAAAAGATAAGCCCATTCCAAAAGGCAGTTTTTAAATGTATCTCTCCTTTAAAAATTTGTAATAATATACACGAGAAAACGGAAATTATTCAATATTTGAATTCTTATAAATTTCATGGGCGTAGCTAAGGGGGGCAGGAGTGCGCACGGCCCACCCCAGAAAGCCCGGTGCCCACTCCAGAAAAAAAGATCTATTATTATTTATGTATTTTTGTCATACTGGTATGTCGGTGACTGCGTGACCTTTTTTTATTATTTAGAATCAAATCAAAACGTATTCAAATTTTATATCTGTATGTATTGCAAGAGTTTTTTTTAAGAAGCAAAAATTGTAGCTACGCCCATGATAGATTTCTCCAAAAATAAAAACATTCATTTTAAAAGTATGTATAGGTATAGACTTTCCTATTGAACAACCAAGAAGTTGACAGTATGTACCTGGTTTGGTCGCTGACGCAACAACTCGGCATTGAAATATTTGGAAAACTTTGTTCCCATATTTATTTAGTCATACCCATATACAGGTCTAGTCGAACTAAACGTGGAGGTGGTACAAATGTATACGCCCAGTTGAAGAATGAGAGCGCGGGCAAACGAAATACAAACACAGCTGCATTGGGCCACTGGGCAATAAATCTCAGCTGTTGACAAGTGGTTGACAAATTGCCTGGTAGTGCAGTGCAGCAATGCGGAATTTGGTGGGATTCAGGTAATTTTAATTTATTATAGGCACCTTCTATTAATCATTGATATTACAATTGCGAAAGGGAGAAATAATATTATTACAACATGGCATTTTGGAGACCTTTTCAAGCGGAACAAAACGAAATTTACCATCATTATAATAAAATTGTTTTGAGGACTTAAATAATTAAAATATGTTATTGGCCAAATGAACATATAATAAAAATTTTCTACAAATTATTCAATTTTTTTACCTTTAGTAGAACACTTTTTTAGGGACGTCTATGAAAGTCATTAAATTTTATTGCCAGGCGTTTTTTTACATATTCAACTGACTTCGGAAAGACTTTACCTGTATTAACATATTTAGATTGATAATTACTACACAAGTTTTTGATTTTAATAATTATGCACAAGTGCGTAGCTAGGGGGGTAGGGGTGGGACCGCCCCCCCCCCCCCTAGGGAGCCTGGTGCCCTTCCCTGAAAAAAAACGATCTAATAATATCATCGTTTTGGTCGAACTAAGCCGACTGACCATCTGATCCCTCAACCCTCAATACCCACGAAAAAATTCTACCTACGCCTATGATTATGCAAGACGATCATAATATTGCTGCATCTTTCGATAACATGAAATGATTAAAATTGCATATCTGTGTTTACTTTAAACGGTACAAATTTTACAAGATTCCGTACAAAATAAATATGTAAGTACTGTCAAATCAGCAAAAATTATTTAAATAACTTCATATCTGCTGATAATAATTAAATTTTACTTGAATGTCAGATAGGCAATCTTGTTTTCGTACCGTGCAAACAAGAGGTGTGCGTGTACCGCTACTGTTGCTCGCGTATGAATTCTGCGGTAACGCTTCGTAAACAGTAAAGCCTAAAACAGGATAATAGAAGCGCTAGAAGCGAAACAAAACAAATACCTAATGTAATAAGCGTACCGGCGGCACCTGCTTGTTACATGGAATCGAAACGTAGCGACAAGAAACCCAAAAGTGCGATTTCGCCATGCCAACTCTCAACGTCTCTCTCTAGTCTCTACCCAGTTAATAAAACCACAAGGCACGATTGCTCCACACTCCACGACTCGTTTCTATCCCAGTCCTGTTTAGAGGTGTGCGTGGTTAAGGACGGCTTCGTTAATTGCGATTTATTTTAAAATATCGCACAGTAATAAACGCAATTTATTACGAAATCTCATGGATGTCATCTGATTTCATTCCCTATTTTTGTTTGCTGTTTTGAGTGGCATTTTGATTTAATAATAAGGATTGGTGAAATAAAATCGCGCTCATCTTTAAACGCAACGCAGGGGCGGGCTTAAAATATATAGCCTTATTCTTTCCCAATTTTCAATATAAATTCAACTGCCTAATCAAAAATTTATTTTTTTTATCTTTTCCAGTTACAGTGTAAAATCAATTTTTTGACAGTTCTGATGGTAAAAAAAAATTGGATTAAAATAAAATCTACTCTGTATGTACTTTTGGTACAGAATGGATTGGAAATATTAGTTTTTTAGTGCCTCAAATTATTTAAATGATATTTACAATTCGCTATAACCTAGAAAAATTTTTTGCGTTCCATTAATATATTTATATGCAAATGTGTATAATCATATGTTTTTATTCGGGGTGTTCATATTAAATCCAGAACAGGCAAAGGTATATGTGTCACTTACAATATTTCATTTGAACTTTTAATTGCGTTTTGGGTTTTACCTTATCTACTGTTTATTGAAATTTTGTACACTACAGTATAAATAATTTCAATCATTCCTTCAAAGTAATTTATTAAATTTAAATTGCTTTTTAGAAACATGATACATACATATACATATACCTGCGTAGTCAAAATCTTCAACTTCCATCTTGTTGCCATATGTTCATAATTCATAAATGGACATAGTATACAGAATTTTATCTAAATATATGTCATATCTTCAAGACGTTATTCCTTGGGTCATTTTAGACCAAAAAGCATTAAATCCACTTTTCGAGATGCAGGGCAAGTTGACGAAATCTCATAAATACGAAATAACATTTTATAATATATCTCTGAAGATATTTGACTTAGATGAAACATGAAACTTCGGCTAATTATATAGTATCTAATTAAGTATATTTAATAATTACTATACAGTTCTGCCAATCACAGGCAAAGATACTAAAAGGCATTGTCACTAAGAACTCTAGAATCTCAACATTTTTAAATATTTTGGTAATTATATGGTTCTAGGCCATTATTTCGTAAAACTTTTTAGTTTACAACAAGAACTTAGAAAACACTCTGTATAATAACGTATAAGTGACGTATTTTATTACAACACTATCGCTGAGGAGGATTTTTACATAGCTTACTGTTTTTTCAGATTCGTGTAATATGTTTTTAATTTCGAACCAACATTGCTTTGTGTTAAAAAACCATTAAAATCATCCACATGCGACAATACCTCGTGTTGTTCAAAACGTATTAATTGTCCCGTGTGCAATTAGCTGAGTACGGCCCTGCTTATTCACAATCCCACTTCCATGGCAGGTCAAACCTGGAATGGATGAAAAGCGGTCAACAGTGTACAGGTGTTTTTAAATGTAGTTTATAGTGTCGAGAATTTTTAGTTTAATTATACGTAAGTTTCAATTTATTTACCATTATTACAGGTGCATACACAGGGTTACAGTTTAGCAACAGTATTTGGAGGTTAGAACTTTGAATTATCGTTTTAATTTGTTGATATCTAGTGCATAAACTGAGTGCAGTGGACTCAATCGGGACGTCTGGTTTGCGGTCCTCATTTCCCAAATATAACGTTACTTTTATACTGTTGACGTGTTGGCGATACCATACCTATATTGTTTTATCTGGTTTTGTGCAAATTTATTTTATCAATAATGTATCAGTCAGTCAAATGTTAGTTGAGTGTGTTATTATTTGTTTGTGATGTAATAGTTCCACGCACCAGGCTAACAAATTGTTAAACTTAGTTTCGAAAGTGCTTGTAAAAGAAAATAGGTTACTTGGTTTGCAGTTTTGCTCTATGGATTTTGTAATAATCTGCCAAAGTGCCTACCACTAATACCACCTAAATTAAAATTGTGAACATCCTGTTTGTGTATTCGGTAACTCCTCTTGTTAGGTCCATTATTTGTTTAATTTGTAGGTAGGTACTTAACATCGCATTTGAATTTGGAACTAATCTAATGAATGTACTAATGTCACCGTTCCTTTTGAGGATCTGGGTTAGTGGTCAAAGAGGCAGTCACCCAATGTTTTAATGGGAATTATTGTCCATCGGCTGCTGTGCGTTCAAAAACTTTTTTTCTATTTAGATATGTTTTTGTTTTGATAAATCAGACACGGCTACGTGATTTTGTATTAAGTATAGGAAAAATATTTACGTAGTTTAAGGACGATTATGATTCACTATCTATTATGCTGTTACTCAAATTATATAGTACCTAAACAGATCCTTATATTTTTTAAATGCCTGGGCTACTTGAAACGGTTAATGAGACTTGTTACTATTAGTCACAAGAAACTTTAAATACATGTAAACTACCGGGTACTTACACATAATAGGTATATTTTCATGAATAATTTTGTGCGTTGCTATTTTATTTATTTTAACCGCAAATAATAAATATGGTCATTTTTATTTACAAAGAAATCGTCAATTCTTAGATCTCCTTTGAGCGGGAAAGAAGCAATCATTCGCGATAGAACCACTGAATATGCATTTGTGTTGTGTCTATAATGACTCTAATGTTTATAGAAATCTTAGCTCAACACTAAAATACGACTCAACTGTTATCCTGCGTACTAAAACCGCTTTCACTTGGCAAAATGTCGCATAAAATAAATTGCATTGTGATCTTGCAAGCTGCAAATTGCTTTTGCTTATTTTATTGTATGAAATAAATTTTAAATGAATCATTCCTCATTTTATGCTTCAACGGGAATTTAAACTGATGGTCAAAACCAGCGTTTCTATAACTTAATAAGTACCTACTAAAAAAGTGCAATTATTCCCGGTGAGGTTAGAATTATGTCATGCATACGAGGCTTATAAAATTCTAAAACAACAACGTAACAACGAATTTAAACAGTGATGAATTACGAAAACTTCATTAACATTGTGTGCGTACAGCTGAGGACAAAAAGAGATTTTTCAATTTAAGGGGATTTAAAAAAAGTACCGTGCCATAAACAAGTTAGGAGGGAATTTTTTATCCACCTTCGGTGGCGTATACAAAAGGAATTCGGGGTCCACTTAAATTTCGAAACTTTGAGTAAGGACCTCCCGACTTTTCGAAGTCTATACGCAGTACCAGGTACCAGATGCCATGGAATAATCTTATATTTTAAGAGTCAATATTTTAAGTAGGTACCGATTAAGACTTGGTTAAATAATCGGACGATTAGATTGTAAATTAGTTTGTATAGAATACAAATACATATTTATTCATAATCTAATCTGAAAATAATATGTAGTTATAATGCATAAATAAGTATAAAATTGAAGTAGGAACATACTACAAATTTTACTGGCCGCCCTAATATTTTGGTCGTAGGTACGGTCCTGATTTTACTGCTAAATAGGTTTTCGTAATTTCATCACCATGAAATTAAATCAAATTATTCCAAAATTTTAAAGTTCACTTTCTGAAGTGAATATGATATCTGTATCAAATTCATTCATTCATAGATTTACTAAAAATGTATTTAAAAACTTTTTAACCAAAACGAGGATATATAGAAAATGAGCTCAAAATAGACAATACTGACGTTTTTTTAAAAAACATAACTACAAAAAGAACTGCTGTTTCAAAGAAACTTTCAGTCGGCTCGTTTTGGCTACTAATGTAAAAAAAATATATATTATTTTTATAAATTTAAATTGTTTATAGCTATATGAGAAATTACAGTTATTTACAATTTTAAAAACCTACTGTTGATTGACATTAACTTTAATATGTGAAATTAAAATTAGGTTATGCATCATGTAAATAACAAATATATACATATATTAAATTGATCGAACAGTACAATGATTGTAATTGGTACGTTTTATAAAAAAAATATGTTCAACGTTGAATAAAAATTTGTAAACATGTATCAACTTACCTACCACTCGACATGGAATTAGAATTAGTACACTACCAGCCATCCGATATCTTCAATGTTTTATTGCATTTATGAAGAATAAAACTTATTAAAAAGTTTATAATGTTACTCATTATGCGATATTAACTAAAACACAACTTATAAATTATAAATTTCAATCTTTGAGCATTTCAATATACCTACACAGCACCAACCTAATAGAAATAAATCACACTTTTTGTTTTCCATAGCCCACTAAACACAAGAAATAACTAAATAACGAGATCTGGGACCTGTTTTTTATAAGTGCTTTTCAACTCTTCACACTTTTCTAGCTATTTTCTGTTTCCAAAATTAATATTCAAAAAACAGTTGGTAATCTGCACATTGAAAATGACTACCTGAAACTACTTAAAATTCATAACGTTTTTGTAAAGTACATTTTTTTTTAAACAGAATTATTATTCGCTTTTCTACATTTGTAAAATGAAAAGCGGAAAGTTGAAAAGAACTTTCAAAAAATAGGCCCCTGTTTTACTGTTTGAAAACTTTGTATTACGGCAGTTAAATCAATTCACGCGGCACGTTTACAGAGTGTACACATGTAATACCGAAATTGGTATACAGACTGTACACATGTAAAACCGAAATTGGAAAATTCATATTGTAATTTTAAAATATTTGTTTTTAATTAATTAATGAATTTTAATTTGTCGACAAATTGAAATAATTATTTTTCTGTTCCTCTAGAGATGGAAAAGTTTCGGTTCTTTAAAATAATTGAACCAAACTTCAAAAATTTAAGCCGAAAGCAGATTGCCTTTTAAATTTTTCTGTAGAGAAAGCAGTTGATTTTCTCTACTGGTTTCATTCTATCTATGTATAAAACCTAGAGATAGGCATCAAATAAAGATTGAAATTTGCAATTTTTTATGAAATTATACCTTGTTTATTTAAAAATCTTTCTTTTTAGGTGTTAATGGAATCGCTAACTAACTCACATACCTTTGACGACCCGCGGTGATCATGGCTGACACTGCTGCTGAAAATGAGGCAGATTCAGGCAGTGGTGTAGCAACGATGCAAGCAACACCTGATGGACCATCAGTACCAGAGGAAGATGCAGAACACAACGAGGCCGAAAGAGTGACTGGCTCAAGTACCAATTACGATTCCAGTGAAGGAACCAATAAATGCCCCAGATGTGATTTTGAGGCAAGCACCCAAGCAATTCTAACCGCTCACATTACTCAAACGCATAGTACAAACGAAGTAGAAATGGAGGTAGAAAACAATAACCCGCCCCCCGATCGGGTACATCGAAAGATATTTGAGTGTGACGTTTGCAATATGAAGTTTTCTAATGGGGCTAACATGAGGAGGCACAAGATGAGGCACACGGGTGTGAAGCCTTATGAATGTAGGGTGTGCCAGAAGAGATTTTTCCGGAAAGATCACCTTGCTGAGCACTTTACGACACACACGAAGACTCTACCGTATCATTGCCCGATTTGTAACAGAGGCTTTCAAAGGCAGATTGCGATGAGGGCGCACTTCCAAAATGAACACGTGGGACAGCACGATTTAGTTAAATCTTGTCCGTTGTGTAGTTATCGTGCTGGTTCTATGAAGAGCTTAAGAATACACTTCTTTAACAGGTACTTAATCATTTTAACCACATCTAAGTTTTGTATTGCTTTAATGAGCCACAGTGACGACTACTATGTCTTATTTTAACCCCAAGAATGGAATATTGTGATATTGTACATTTTCTTTATTTACAGACACGGAATTGATTTGGACAACCCAGGGCCCGCTGGTTCACAGGCATCTTTGCTAGCGGCAGCCGCCCAACAAAATTTTGCTATAGATGGCACGCTCAATTCTTTGAACCAATTGTCTAGTAGTTTGTCTGTCAGCGTCACTGGAGCGAATTATAGTGACTCGGGTGATTCCACGGGTGCGCGCTCAACTGATAACGCTACGCCGCCAATGCATTTCCTTACACCACATGTGGAAATATCTATGGCAGACGCGCCGGTACCTGTTTTTTCTCCAACTCCTGTAAGTACAAATAAAGTATTTAATTGTGCTTGGTACATGATGTACCAAAATTCCGTTTATGTGGAAGTACCACAGATTCATAAGGTGAAAATAAAATTATTTAACTAAAAGTTCCTCTATTTAAAGTTGTCTCGATTAAATGCTGCGAAAAAGACAAACAATAGAGGCGACTTTATCTGCAGAAACTTCTTTACAAAATAGGGACTAATTTGAAAAACGTTCATGATCTCGATTGGGTAAACGAAGCAATTCTGGCTAGAGGTACATTTAGTTCAATTTAATTTATTTTGGAAGAATTTTTGGTAGTTCCATGAACATAGAATGTTGGGTGTAGAATTTTTTGTTACAAATGTTTCTACAGTGGCGGCTCGTCAGGTGACGCAAGTGACGCACCGCTTCACCTAAAATTTCCGTTTGGTTGTGCAATTTAAAATTATTTTTAATTTTATATAAATTTTATAATTTAGGTATAATTCTATATTGAAAATGTATTGTGTTTGTTTATTTAATACGCAAAAATAAACAGAATAGTTGCACGGTGAACGCCTTCTAAAAAAACATTGCCTTCGTTGAGCGCGAACGTCAACCTCGTACCATACAACAACGTATAGTATGCGCAAGTGACGCAGATCGAAACAATCTGAATTCTGCTTTTCTTCAAAGCATTGTTTACGGCCGTTGTCATGGCAACGAGGCGGCCAATAAACTGCGGCATGGGGGAACCAGTGACGCGGATATTGAAGCGGCACTCTAGCATTGTCATCGCCCAGTGCACGATTATAACGGTTCTTAGTTAATATTTGCTTTGTATAATAATTGTAGAAATGTTTCTTATGTATGATCCAGTATGTATTTTATTGGAAACGCCATTTTCCAGATAGAAAATTGAGGACAAAAAGGATTTTTTAAATTGCGAGAGACCTGTGCCTTATTCTCTCGATATGGAAAAAAGGAGAAGTCAAAAAACAATGTGTACGTTCGGAAATTTTGGAATGAATGGTATTTGGAGAATAAGAGTGGTTGTGTGGAAGTGTTTATTTAAAAAAACTTTTCTGGTATGCCTTGTTTAATTATGGCTGTAAAGTCGGGTGTGTGGAATAAGGAGAGACTTAACAATTTTGGGAACGTCGCTGTCGTAAACACAATGCTTATTTAGAACATACATGATTGTACGGTGTGCGTTACTGTTTACAGAAGTCCACAAGCCGAACTCTTTTCTATTTTTTATAAAATCTAAATGAAAATCCTTCTCATGAACGTTAACTTTTCGGTAATATTGCAAATGCAACTAAAAATTTCCAGATTCATTTAAAACCGTTTGACCTTGAAAATTTTAAAATTTTTGCCTGAAGTGCTGTTTTTTTTTTCTTTTTAATCAGTCAATGAATATGCTTCACCTATTTTCAATGTCACGAGCCGCCACAGTGTTTCTATAAAAATTTTCTTCATCACAAAACATAAAAACTAAACTAATATTTTCAGAAGCCCGATAATTTTCAAAAAGACAGTAATAAAATTGAACATAATACAATGAAATGTTTGTTAGAGGTATAAGACAAATAATTAATCTATAGAGAAATAAGTTTTGTGAATTATTTAAAAATAGAAACTTCTAATATACATGCTAAAATGAAACCTTTGGATATTTTGAAAGACAGAATTATTTTAAGAAATAAATAATATTTAAGGGTGATCAACAAAGTGCCAGTCAACCCGTCCAAAGTGGAGATTCGTCTCAGCGATTAAACGGAGAATGTCCTAATTCTCCGCAGTCGGCCGATTCTAACTCAAATGCTCCCTCAAGCAGCCACATTCAGCCAAGCTCTCTCAGAATAGACCAAGAAACTAGTATTACCCCGTCCATATCTCTAATTCCTATTAAGCAGGAACCCGGAGAAGAGTACGATATTTCTAAACGAAATGGACCAGTAAATTTAAGCACATCGCCTTCTGGTAGTGTACAAATGCAAACAGCAACTTCAAGTAGTCTTAGTTCTTTAATTAAAGTGTCACCGCTGAAAAGTTTACTTAGAGACGATTTGAAAAGAAAAATTATTACAAGAAATAACTCGTCAGCACGAGGTAGGTCGACAGCATCGCCTAATGCCAATTCAGAGCACTCTCCGAGCGATGCTGCTACTACAACCAATGGTACTATAACTTCAACAGGTCCCGAACAACCGTCGGACTCTTCTTTATGGAGGACTATGGGTAAACGTTCTTTAAGTGGCTTACAATGTATATTTTGTGGTATAGGTTTTCCTGATCAAACACTTTATTTCTTGCACAAGGGTTGCCACTCTGATGCAAATCCTTGGAAATGTAATATTTGTGGAGAGCAATGTTGTAATGTGTACGAATTTAATTCACATCTTTTAAGCAAAAGCCATCAGTAGATATTTCATTAGCGTACTATTCTATTAAAAATTATATTTACTTTATACTAATCGCCGGTTTATGAATCGGTACAGAAATCTGTAATTGAGTTGGTGTTTTTTCGATTATTATGGTGATGCTCACTATAACTAAATTTAAAACAATATTTTGGGGCCTTGTGTATTTACATACAACCTATAGAATGTTATATTGCATGTTGTAACAACATATAAATAAATATATTTTATGTATAAAATATGCCACGAAATGGTTTAGAAAAATTCAGTTTAAGAAATACCTGTAGGCAATCACAAAACATCCAATGGTGGTTAAATGAAATAAAATAACTTGATATGAATAAAAATAATTATTGTAACGTAACTACCAGTTGCAGTTGGTAAAAATTTAAATGGTTATATTAAAAATGAGGCGTGGAAGAGCCCATTCGGTTTTTGGGGAACGATTTTTAGACGCACATGGAGAATTTTTGTACTGAAAATATTTCAAACGAAATATGGAAAATAAAATATTTAAATAGGTATAGCTTTTCCTAAGGTCTCAGAAAAGGTTGTACATTCATATTATAAGATCAGGTATATATATGCTCAATTGTTTTTGATATCTTAAGGAAAACTATATATCCTAATTTAATTTTTTATTCTATAAATTTCATTTGAATTTTTTTTATCATGAAAACTCTCCGTGACCATAGAAATAATTTCCTAGAAAGTGATGTGGGTTTCACATTTCACTATCAAAATATAATCACTTTAATTTTTAGAAAACTGCCACTGATATAAACTTATTTTATATCTGGCAAGATTCTTTGTTTTGTAAGTTGCAAATGGAGTAATCAAAAAATGGAATTTTGGATAAAGGATTAATGAATGGTTTATTGTTTTGGACATTTTTCAAATCAGTCTATGTACAAATTTTTATTATGCCCATATCAAATTTCTCATAAAATTATATATTTTTATCCCAGCGTTTATGAGAGATGTACAAATACTAAGTGCCATTTTTCTGATAAAAATAAATAAAATAAAATTCAGTTCTTGTAACCACTTTGTATAGAAACTATTTTTGTTTGTGCCTCATTTTTTTCACATGGCAAAATACCCAAATAAACAGAAAAAACTAAGATTATGCCACAAACAAATTTGTTGCAGGTAATTAAGTGAAATAAATATTTTAAAAAATTCATAGCCACTATTGGATGTTTAAATTGATCTGGAATCAATGAGAGGATATTGCATGTCATTCTAGAAATTTACTTTCTATGTAAATTATATTTGATAAATGAATATAATTATTTTGAAAAATTAGAGATATACAGGGTGGTTCGTAAATGATCCCAAAATATGATGTTTTAACGTAATTTTCCAAGTTGCTTCGTTTTGGTGCTAAATGGTAAATAAATGGCTAAATGGTATTAAACTTAGTAAAAAATTGTTGTATTTTTCCATATAATTTTAAATTGTTTTGATTCATTTAATTGAAATTTAAAGTGCTAGTGCTGGTACTTTATATAGATGTGACTCTGAAATAGTAATACTGCAATCAACAACCATTTGGGAGCAAAACCTCTATTGCCAACCTTGAAATGTAAGATTGAATTTTCAATATATTTTCGTGCAATAAATTTCACATAACCTAATATTTTGGTCTTTAGATATTACAGTAATTAAATTTTGACATTCTTTGTATATAAATGGCACAAACTAACTTATGTTAAATTTATTTCCCTAGCGATTTTAGTAGTCATTGCAGTCAAGTCATTGCATTATCGCCTATATTATGGCCCTATTTAGAAATAAACTATTTTTTCCCCTACTTTAAGATCATCTAGCGGCTAAACCAAGCAATTTGGTATAAAAGTAAATTGCGATAAAAACCTATCCTGCCGTGTCGGTTCATTTACAAATTACCCTTTGGACCACCATACAAAATTAACTTTGTAAAATTATACGAAACTTTTTATATAAACTATTATAGTTATATATATTTCACATTCCAATTTTTTATTTTTATACAAAAACTATAGATTGATAAAAATTCTTTATATATTTATGACCGTACTCAATTTTAGTGATTTATATGAGAATATTCAATCAGATATTCTTTGAAATGATAACAGTAACATTTTTCTGGTAAGGATTGTCTGTGAAGTAAAAATTATTTTAAAATAATTTGGATACATAATTTGCATTTTATATTTGTTACAACTAATAATTTTATAAATTGATTGGATTTTCAGATATTTATTCAGTAATCAATACTACTGAAAATGTTATGACTATCCTAAACACATTTTCGTTAGAATTATAGTTGTTGTCGTAAAAACTTTATGAAGAAAAATTAAATCAAAACCAATTGTGATAAATTATTGTTGACAATTTAATTCTTGTTAAATATTTATATGGACAATGTATATACTACATTTTGAATTACATACCTTTTTTGTTAATGATAATTATATTAAGAATAATTACACATGCATTTTTAAAGAAACCATTTCAAAAGGTGAAGTAGGCTTTTTAATAACTATAGAATCAACACTATTTACTTTCAACTGTTCAACTCTCAGTGGTCAATTTTTTAATGTCTACTTTGTTAAATGCTAAACTAATTCTAATTTCACTTTAATAAAATTATTATTAATTATTATCGTATGGTTTGTAAATGTGGTGTTGATTTTATAGATCTTAAATTTTTGTTTAAATAAGTGCCTGCAAACATGCCTTGAAACAATCATTCTAATCTGAAATTTGCTCTAAAAAGTCCGTCCATTGTTGAAAAATAATATAGGTATATATTATATTTAAATATAAATATTTCATATTGCTAGATAATACATGTTTCTAGTATATAGTTAGAAGAGCAAAGTTTAAGGTTTGTTAATATCAAATAGGTTTAGTGATTTTTGTATACATTCCAATGAATATATTTTTCTTCAAAAAAAAAAATGTTAAAAATTGTGTAACACACAGACTTTGATAATTCAATTTTGTGCAATAATTTGCAGAGCTTATTTTTTTACACGTAGTTCTGCTGTAAATTATTTTCCTTAATTTCTAGACTGGCTGTTATAAACAGGATAAAGATATACTACTACTTTCATCATTTTTTTGTAATATAACTATATAATTTTATTCTTTGCCTTGTTAAGTATTAGTATATCTTATTAATGGAAATCATGTGTTGTAAATTTGTAATTAGTTCGATAGTCAGTGCTTAAAGAATGCAACTGATAACAGACATACATGATTTTGAGGCAGTCAGTCTTTCCCCATAAAATCAGCCTTCCTTATAGACAGTTTAATAAAAACTAAAGATTATGTTATTTATGTAATAATTAAGTTTACACACTAATATTTTATTTTTCAGTCAACTTTATTCCTAGAAATTATAAAAATGAACATTCCTTATTGGTCAATAGAAATGTGATTATAAAAAATGTACCTACTTTTTATATTTATTTTTATTTATACATTTTGTAAATCACATCTTGTTATTCTGGTGAGAGGGACAAATAAAGTAAGAGTTTTAATTTCTGCTTTTTTATTTTTTATTTATTCAGCGGAAAAAGTGAGGGCCTTTCATATTCTATGAAGACTTGGGTATAATTTTTAAAATATGCTGCTGGTGTTCATCGCTGTCAGAAAACGCTAGCTCACAATAGATCTTAGGATTTTCTGTCTATGATAATCGCCAGTAAAATTATCAAAAACCATACTTTTATTAGTGGAAAAAAAGAGATAGAGGGCTCATAGATAAGATCAACCATAATTTCTTAGTTAAAGATATTTTCCACGCGACATCCTCAAATATATTTGCAAAAGAAATGAATTTGTAGGTATAAAAAAATATTAATGGTGTGATGAATGGTGTATAACCTCGATTTGTTCCAAGCTATCTGAATTTATCCTACTAGTGAACATTTGTGTCATATCTGGTTATATCAGCTTATTTCTTAACCCTTGAAACTCCACAGTAGCAGTATCTAGAGGACTACGCACTTGGTAGTTAATGTAAAAGATCCAGTTAAATATGTGGCCCATTTCATAAAAATATTGTACCATTTACATCTAAATTTTTAAAGTACAAGATTTGCATTTCTTGAAAATATACCTATATATATAAGCTTGTAAATTCCAGTTCATTTGTTCAAGATCACAATTTTTTTTTTATTTGAAGTCCCCCAGTTATTTATAGAACACATTCAACTTTATGTAGATAGTAGATACATGTAATTATTTCGCAAAATAGCATTAACTCTTTTAATTTGGTTCAAATTTACATAATTTTTATACAAATTTGATGTAAATAATTGGTCTGTTCCAACAAGAGTCAGGGATTGGTTCCAAACCGTCAGAAATGTGCATCCAACTAATTATTGCGATATATTCACTGCAGACACATTTAGAATTTAGCTGGCCAAACATTTCGAACGGTTGGGAACCAATCTCTGACTCTTGTTGGAACAGACCTAATTAAAATATATAATTTTTTAAAAATCATTAGGTGCCAGATATTTTGTAATTTTTCAAGATTTTTGACGTTGTTAAGAAATAGTGAAATTTTTTAAACAAGGAACAAAGAACAAATACCAGTTCACAAAAGAGAGTAAAAATATTAAGCCTATTTGTAAACGTACATACAACTAATATAGAATAGAGGCCATTCTAATAAAAATCTAAGACTCAATTCGGAACGCATTCTGCAATGATATTTTTTTAGTAGGAGACGCATTCTTAAAAAAGGACTCAAAAGAGAAGAAGAAGCGTTCAATGTAGTGTTTTCATTAATTCCTATATTCATAATCATTTGTTCATTTTGTATTTGCTAATTTTGACATTTGACGGAACTCTTTTTTTTAGTTTTTGGCGGAATTGTGATTCTTGTTAAATAAATGTATTTAATGGTTACTAACAATTTTTTGTAGAATGTATTGCAGTATTTAATCATATAATATTGTTAACTAATGCATATTTCACATTGATACTAAAATTTTAACCTAAAAATTGTCTGTTTCCTATAATTCAATGGCAGGAAAACGAAGTGCTACTAGCGATTTAAATCATGATAATTGGGATCAAGATGACGACCCGGAAGATGCTGGTACATTTCAAAAAGCCCCAGAAGAGTCCTTAAAAAGAAGAATCATAAAAACTGCTAGGAGGAGAAATCCCATCTCTTCTGTTAGGGTATAATATAATTATGTACTATAATTGTTTTGAAATTCATAAGTATAATAATTATTTTATGTTAATTATTTTTATATTCTTAATATTTTTCAGGATGTAGAACCGGATTCCAAGGTTTCTCAAGTCTTCACAGGTTTCTCAGGCTTCTCAAAAACGACTGCACCTGCTACTACTCCTTCATTCTCGTTCTTATCAAGTATAACAAAACAAACTGAGAAACCCAATACTAACGGTACAGGTGGAAATGTAGAAAGTTCTGAAGCTGACAAAAATACTTCCACTTCGACTTGTGCCAACCAGACACCTCTTTTTACTGGTATAAAATCATCCATTCCAACAAATGACACGAAAGGAAAATCAAATGACTATTACTCAAAACTGAAAGGCTTGAATGAAAGTGTGTCAAATTGGATAAAAAAGCATGTTGATGCAAATCCACTCATCAATTTGCAACCTATATTTAAAGATTATGAACATTATTTCAATGAATTAGAGAAAGAAGAAGACAATAAAACAGAATCCAAAACTGACGACTCTAAACATACTGGGGGAAATGTTTCTTCGATGAGCAGTTTTGTGTTTAAGGCTACTACAAATATTCCTGATAGCACTACAGAAAAGACAGGGCAAGATTTAAATAAGGATACTCCTAAAGTCTCTTTTGGATCTTTGTCAACGGCTAATATAATTAGCGATACTATACCTAAGTTTGGCTTCAGTAGTACAGGGACCTCAAATACTTTTTCATTTGGTACGTCATTAAATACAAGAGATCCCAAAAATGATTGTATTTCAAATTCAATTTTATTTTTAGGAAATTCTACTTCTACATCTAAAAGTATTGTAACTCCGTCACTGTCCTTTGGAGGTAATTTGTCAACACCTAATAACACAGGTTTCAGCTTCACTAGTTCGACACCCTTCACATTTAACAATGTTTCACAACCTGCATCAACGAATGAATCCAAGAAACAGAAGGAATCGGAAGATGAAGATGATGAACCGCCTAAAGCCGAGTTTACTCCAGTGGTAGAAAAGGATCATATTTATACGACAAGATGTAAAGTATTTGTCAAGAAAGATGGCAATTTTGGTGATCGAGGTGTTGGTAATTTGTATCTCAAGCCTATCGAAAACAGCGAAAAAGTTCAATTTATCGTCAGGGCAGATACTAATTTAGGTAATTTATTATGTAACTTTATACTTTCTGCAAGCATCCCAACAAAAAGGATGGGAAAAAAAGATGTTATGCTAGTTTGTTTACCAACACCCGATTTCAAACCTGCCCCTGTGCCTATCTTGTTGAGAGTGAAGTCACCAGAGGAAGCCGATAAACTGCTAGAGATCTTGGAAAAGCATAAGAAATAGTAATTGTTAATCATTTAGTCTTATTTTATCAACACTGTGCTCAATAAAAATATTGTTTTTTATTTTCCTTTTCTTTCCAGTTTATAAAAGGTGAAGGCAAATATTAAAAAAGTGAGAGAAAACATAAATGTTTCTCATTTTTAGACAAATTATACAGGGTGTAACCTAAGTACATTAAAATATTTAAGGGGGGTATTCCTGAGTTAATTCTAAGAAAAAATATTATGTAAACATTTGTCCGGAAATGCTTTGAGATACAGGGTGTTGAAATTAAAATTTTATTTTCGATTTTTTAAATAACTTGCGAAAGATACATTTTTCTCACAAAATTTGGTAACCAGGTGTTTTTTGAGGTGAGCAATCATAATTTGGTATTAATTTTTGTGCAGCACTTAGAGGGCGCTACGTATGCTGTCATTAATTTTAATTTGCCATAACTTTTTTGATAGAATACTTCTGCGATTTTTTTATGAATAAACCATATTCCTACTCCTTTTGTAAACACAAAAGGTACACTTCTTTAACAACGCTAAAAGCCACAGTTTTCAAGAAATTTGCAAATTTCTAGAAAGATGCAATTTGCCGAGTCCCTTAGGCGTTAAATGAAATTGTTGAGAATTTCATGGTCAAAAGTAGGCTATGGATTCTTTGATGTGGAAGGCAGAAGCTTGTAATAATGTCGGGGGTAGCCACTTTTAGCAGCTGTTGTAAAAATGATTTTGTTTAATTTTAATTTCAACTCGCCCTGTATCTCAGAAATAAAGCATTTCCAGACAGGTTTATATAAAATTTTTTTTTAGAATTAACTCGGGAATATCCCCACTTAAATATTTTAACATATAGGTTACACCCTATACTATGTAAAAATATGTTAAAAAGAAAAAAGGTGATACAAAAATTTCATTGAATACCTTACATATTTTAAGATAAGATAAAGGTATCAGAATATTTATCATGTCTATTTGAGAATAGAAATGAAATTACATATTGCAATGGGAAATTGACCACTAGTGGAAATTAATGTAGTCATATCAATACATATAATAAAGCACGCGACATATACTGTTCTTTGAGGATGATTTCTCAAGACATCGAGAACTTTCATGAGGAAAACATTTTTTAAGTGTCGTTAGACCCTTTGAAATCCACCTAGTTATTTGAACTACTACCATCACACGTGAGAATAAAACATTATTAATGCTTTAATCTCCATCAATGCATAATTCGATAAGTTGTGTCAAAATTAAAACATTACAGTTTTAATTTCATTATGACAAATTAATTCTTAAAAATGCATATGAACAACCAAAACTCCAAATGAATATTATACTTTAAAAATTTACAGTAAATGTTAAAAAATATATCCGTTTTGGCAAATGTTGAAAATGAAGATAAGCGTAATATGATCGGAGTTTATTATACCTGTAACCGCAACTGTGCAAGAGCATGTCAGTTGTATTTGTATGAATATTCGGAAAAAAGATTAGATCAAAATTTGTTTGAATTAAATTAAAAACCTAGAAATAACTATGAGCACGGGAATAAAATTCTAATAATGTTTTATTGTAACTTGTGGTGGTAATAGTTTAAATAAGTAGGTGGATTACACATGGTCTAACGATGCTTAGAGTGTGCGATAATTCAAGAAACAGAAATCTAAAAAAAATTAGATAAATTTGGAACGAATACATTGAAGATGAATTTTTCGAGACAAAACGTCTGATAATGAATCTGATTCGGTTTGAGGCAGTACAGTATTGGGGGTCATGGAGACTCGCAAAAAATTTAATAAAATTTCCAGGGTCGTATTTCAAAAACTGAAGTTGGTTATGGTCCTGGAGAGATAAAATGTTACATATAAAAATTGATTACTGATACAGGACAAAAAGTTGCCATGAGTGAGTCTTCTTTTTTCAATATCATCTCAAACAAGGCTGAAATGAAACAAAAACGGATTCCCAAAATTTTGTTTTTCTTCAAATATTTCGAGAACTAATCATGTTAGCCTTGATTTTTTAGAGGTTGGTCCCCTGATCGTATCTCTTACCGTTTCCAAGATCCCTGTAGTGAGAAGCAAATTTGTAACAGCCTGTATATTTCATAATCAACCGAGATGTTATTTTATTTTCTACAATATTTTCATATTCTTCATGAAGTTACAGCATCATGTTAAAAAATGGAATATTAATATCAAATTAAATATTAAATAAGTGCAACTGCAAAAAAAAATAATTTTGCCGAAAATTAACAAAAATGGTTTGTATCAGATTATGAAACAATATATTTTAATTTTTTATTTTGCAAATTCTGTTTGTAATTTATTTGTAATGAAAGTACTCTTCGTGAACATAGATATCATCCCCTAAAAAGTGGTTAACAGTCCCATGCTTCGTTATCAAAACACCACTTTAATTTTCACCAGTCGCTGTTGCTTCGAAAATTTAACACTTGTTAGAATAAATAAAAGTTTTATGTCGAATATTTTATTGTTTTTCAAATATAAAATACTATTGTCTCTCAAAAACATAATAATATATACATTAATTAACACCTAGGAAATATACAAAATTACATAGCCACACGTTCAAAATAACAAGATGAATTGAATATAAAATAAATGAAGATGCATATGTAAATGTAGTGTTCACGATGGATCCAAAAGAATAAAAATATACTACAAAGTTTTTACTGACAATAAAGTTATATATTGCACAGAATCTTATGCTAAAAAGATTGTATAAATAAAAAACGCCAGACTCTACACATGATAAATTTACACTTTGAAAACACTCCCGAGACGGTATCATATTTTCGCCACCGTTCCAACTAACAGTTTGTCTAGATTCGTTTCAGTTAAACCGACCTCAATGTGTTTCATATGAACTTCTACGTTAGTTTGAAATACCTGCTGATTGCATGGACTCAACTTTCGTTTGATTTGTTCCATGGTTCCTTGTAACACCTGTAGCTCATAAGCGTTTTGATCCGAGTCAGACAGACTCTTTACTTGCAGTAAAAGAGCAGTTAAATCTGTGATCAGGTCCAGTATCGACTCATTTTGACAGGGGCCTTTGTCTGAAGCGATGATGGAATTATGTTTCTGCACTATGTCCGAGGCCTCTTCTCTACACTTTTCTCTGAGATGCGAAGGGGCTAGCATCGCAGCCACACTGGGCTCCGGAGCAATTTCATGGCAGTAAATCTGCATTTCGTCCAGATACACTTGTAAATCGTGATTTAACTTTTCTAAATCTATTAAAATACTAGCGTACCTTCTTTCGAAGTCCTCGGGAATCTCCTGGTCGAAGGAATTTAACTTTTCCGCTTCTGAATTCATACGCTTTAATAATTTAATTTTCGCCTTCTTGACCTGAAGGATTTTGGTAACCAGCACCATCTTTTCCAAAAGTTTTGCCGGGAAGCCGCCTATTTTACCTTCTGTGCTGGTTGGAAGAAACACCGGTTTATTCAACATGGACCCGGAAAGTAGTGGATCCTTCTTTAATTTCAGATTATTTAAAATGGGGCTCTTTATTACTGGCGAATATGGAGAAAGCCCGTTTCTAGGACGAAACTTATTCTGAAAACTCGATATGCAGATTGTCTCTGGGGGTTCGTTCGAGAGCACTTCATAATCTGGTACGGAATGTGTGCCTAATCCTTGTCGTTCAAATGTAATTCGGTATGTATTGTTGGATGTATCTACGGCATCAATATTACCCGTAAATAGACCATCTTGTGGTTTTCTCAGCCTGGCGGTAACTTTTGTACCAATAACAAGTTGCATCGGGACTTCTGGTGGTAAATCTTTAAAACTAGCTAGGTCCGTAGCTTTTCTTTGCTGTAGAGCTCGAATTTTCTTTCGTTTCTTCTCCAATTCTAGTCTCTCCTCATTAAAAAAAGACTGGGAGCATCTTCTTGGTTTTCCCATCATCCTACGAATTTTCGTCCACTCTATTCTTGTCAGCTCTCTGGTTTTAAGTTCGGGAAAGGATTCTTTTAGACATATACTAAAATCATTTTCACCAGCGAATAAACACCTGTCAATATTACTATAAAACCACTCGTAACAAACCCATTTATGAGCTTTTGGTAATTTCAATAAATTCCTCAACCGCAACCCAATTTTTTGGCCAATTTTTCTGTCAGGAGAATTTATAGGTGGTGGAGAATTTGATCTAATAGGCTTACTTTCTCTAGAGGGAGTCTTCTTAGGTGTGGATTTGATGTCATTCTTTTCAACCTTAACTTTTACTGGAGTGTGAACACGTTGTTTTTTTATCGGTGTAGCTTTTTGTTTCTTTGCTGACGGCACTCTGTGGTGAGGAGTATTTACAATATCATCATCAAAAAACAGTCGGTTCTTTTTCCTTATCCTAGCAGGCATACCTCTGGCATTTAAAACTTGTGTAGGTTGTGTGGGAGCAGGCCTAGGAGGAGGCTGTGTACCAACCCGCTGCAAACCCAAAGCTGCAGGGCCCAACGTTGGTAATTCTTCATCGATTTCCATGTCATGGCCATCCTCTTCATCTGTTATTTCTTGTTTTATCATTATATTACTCTCATTGGTCATTTTTATCCCGTTTTTAAACTGCAATAAGGCTGCTGCTGACTCACCTAAAAACATAAAGTACAAAATTTACAAAACACTATCTACTGGATTAAATTTAATTTTTATTTTATTAACTTTGATAACATCGACGTTCAGATGTTTGACAAGAAAAAAATTGAATTTTCTTCAAAAATTTGAATCGTGTAGATTTGAATTTGGCATAACACCATTTTCAAATTCAAACCTAACAATACACCAAAAACAAATGACGATATTTCAGAAATCAAGCACACAGCGAACCAAAAAATAACTCTAATGGATGCTATAAATAAACAGAATTCACCAATTTCGATTTTCATCGCCATTAAATATGAATTACAACCAAGCTCTTGCAAAAATTTACATGTTTCACTTATTTTCAAGTTGATCCGCCATATTGACGTCGTTTTCGAAGCATTATGGGTAATTCAACGCGCATAGCGCCACAACTACATATTTTGACAAAAAACGGTTTTGCGCCTTAAATAACGACTGTACGTTTGGTACCTAACACTTGCCATAATAAACATATGATAGCTTTGTTGCAATTTAAGAAAATATATTCATTAATAGGGAAAATTACTGAAATGAACAATTTAAATATTTGATTCGAAGGAGGCAACTGAGCATCCATATCAATGCGCAAACTCAAACCGTCTTTTTGCTGTTTGACAGACAGTAATTGCAGTTGGAAATAAATCGATCTTTTCTTTCAAGGAAAAATATTTACTTAAAAATCTTAATACTATTAATGCGCGCCCAGCAAATGTATATTCTATTACCTATACATAATAATTTTAAATTAAGTCGAATGAATCGTCAAAACGGTCAGAAATTAAACAATACGTGTACATAAAAATGCATTAAAAAAATGTTACGTTGGTCGCCCTCCAATTAAACGAGAATTTGAAATTTTGTAATAACATTTCATTATACGAGAGAAAAGCTTCCATTTTTATGCAAGTGAATGTTTTTAAAAATACGAAATACCTACATAACCTAAATTTTAAAAACTGATAAAGATTGAAAATATTCCGTCCATGTATTTAGTTTCTTGTTTCGATTTTGACTACATTGTTAACATATTTTAATAAATAATGCGATACTAATTTAAACAATAAGATGAACAATATAAAGGATTTGTAAGCTTATATGTGTACACTTTAAAACGTCGACAGCAAATCTATAGCAACTACAAATAAAAACAAAAAAATAAATTTTACTTACTTTAAATGTGTATTAAAGTATAACACTTTAAGGACTTTAAACATTTGTGTTTTTAAATATCTATTTGCTGCAAATAAATGAAAACAACTGATTTATAGTTTGGGTTTTTCAATTCATATTTTTTCTTGTTATCAGTTGGCCTCCCTGTGTTGAACAAATATAGCGGTAATTTTAAATTTCGTTCAGCAAACAGTGTGTTACTTTACGTTTACACAAAATATAATTTTTGTAACGCGTCATGTGATAGAAGATTAATTAACCCGAAAAAATATTATAATTTTTTGTCCCTATTTTAGAAAAGAAAATTATGTAATATAACAGTATGTAATGGTGGTTGCATAGCTAATGACTAGATTTATCCCTTACTTGACAATCCTGACATCCTAACTTAACACTACTGGTGATTTCAATAATCACTGATCGTTGTCACTAACTAGGTACAATCTCTAACCGTTTTTTGACTTATGGAATTACAATCGCCTTCAACGGCCATGCCATGGATCATTATATCTAGGTATCTTGAGCAACTGTTAGTTTTGTTCTGATGCACCTAATTTATAATATTCATTTTTATATCTATTATTATAGTCGAAAATATCTAAATACTACAATAAAATTTTAAAATTTTTCCGAATACTTATGGAATATTCATGTTATTTAGGTATCTATTATTTATTACATTTACTGTCTTTAGTATCCAGTTATAACATTTTGAGCAACAAATTAAGTCGTTTAGTGACTTAAAAAACAGTTTTGATGGAGTCGCATATATATTTTGAAAAAGAAAGGTCTTGCTTAAATACCACCTTAGCTCTGCCAGATGAAAATAAAATTGGAAAGAACAAAAGATAAACATTTGGAACACAAATTTAAAACCAAAGTAGAGCCATTATCAAATGTTCTACTGCTTTTATGTCAATCAGAAACGGCGATAAATAAAATTCAGAAATAGTGACAAACTTTAAGAAGTGGTTCCTCGTGTAAATATAACTACAAAAAAATAAATGAAATATTTTTTCTTATCACGACTTCTAGGAACGTAAAATTTAAACAAAAACGAACCAATAGCGTCGAAGTTACGAGAGATTTTAAGAGTTTTATGATTTCATTCGTTAAAAAAAAAACTATATGTATAGATATGCGTCTGCTTTAGACAATGGTATTTTACAGATTTAGATTTTTTTAGTTTTTTAGAGATTTTATTTATTTTTTAAAATATTTGTGTCAGTTGAACTTCATTTCATAAAGTTCATGAGAAAAAAATATGAGTATGTTAGGAATGCTTACGCATCTCAGCAATGCGCCATAGAAAAAAACAATGCAACTACTTTGCTTTAATTTCTACACAATTATGCAAATGTCTAATCTATTTGTCTTACCATTTTCTTAAATGCAAATTTGGGCAAAAATTATGCTAATTTATCTAAGACTTGCTGCTGAGTAAATTTCTAACATTCTAACAGAGACTTTTTTAAATTGTGAACCATACATTGCACCAAAAAGCACAAGAAAGGGAATAGTTCTTATTGAAAACAGTTTGTTCAAATCTAAAAAAAGAAACAGTTATTTGTCATCTATATCCGACAAAAATTTGGACGATGCTCAAAGAAATTGTAAATGGAGGAAGAGAGTTGATAAATAGAAATTAACATAATGAACATAGAAATGAATTAAAACATTTAGTAAACACAAACAACCTTTTAAATTTATTTAGGGATTTATTTATTCGTACTCTGGCAGCCTTTAGTTTAAAATACTTAACATTGATATTTCACTCCCATAAGAAGTGAAAGTAGGTGCTGGAACAGTACGCGAGAAATGTTGCCTTGAAGTTTGTTGTTGTTTTATACACCCAAAATGGACGTAAAATTATTACTGTTTTGTGAAGTAGTCATACTGTTAATTTATTTTCCATTACATTCTTATGGTAAGTCCTATTTTGAGTTTTTATAAACATTAGGTTACTGCACCTGAAATAAGCGATCGTTGAACTCGCTGGGACGATATCGGAGAAGTGTGTCAATATGTTGCACCGTGCGTAATTCCCTCTTCCAGAAATTTTATTCCATTAGTAATGCATTAATGTTTAGACGATTACCATCTTCTAGTTCTTTTGTATCTATCTAGAGATCCAGAAAAAATGGAAAAGGGCTATTTCCAGTAATATAAAAGAAACAAGAACAAAGAAACTGTATAAAATTATTACCTGATTAATCAATTAATGTTGTAATTAGTGCTGTTGTGATTAAGTAATTATCTAATATTAATTAATTAATGTTGATTTTTTAAATTACCTACCTCTATAACGTTTATACGGATTATTGGGTAATTTTCAATGAGTTAAGTATATCTAAGAAAAACGCAGAAATATACAAAGTAACCCATTTCAAAACTGAACACAGTGATAAATATAAGGTACATTTATTAATGGGCTTTGCGCGTAAAACACCAAAATTAATTAGTAACACATTAGAATAGAATTAAAACTAATTTTGTTATCTAGTTTTTATGTTTATGTTTATAATAGTAAAATTATATGCAAAAATTTTTAAATTTTAGTATTACTTATGAAATTTGGTATATACTACTTACCTATACCTATTAAATAAACTGCCGCCTACAGATCTGTATTCAGATTTTTATAAAAAATCGCTAATACAATTTCTATTTTGCATGTTTTAGTACCTACCTATTTGGATACCATTTATTGCGAAATGGATGAATATGTAAGAAATTTGTTTGAAGAATGTATTCTTATTTAGAAATTAAATCTGGTTATTAAACATTTTTTTTATTTAACAGAGACATCTGAAATAATTACTCTGATTATTAATGACCCATTTCAATTGGTAGAAGAATCTACGTATAAGTCTTTCCGTAGTCAGATAAACAAGTATAAAAACGCCTAGCAATAAAATTTAATGATTTTCATAGGCGTTCCTAAAAAAGTTTTCAGCTAAAGGTAAAAAATTATAATACTTAAGTTGTACATAATGTGTAGAAAATTTCTATTACCTATATGTTCATTAGGCCAGCAATATGTTTTAAATATTTATGTCCTCAAACAATTTTATTATGTTGATAGTAAATTTCGTTTTGTTCCGTTTCAAAAGGTCTCCAAAATGCCATGTTGTAGGTAATAATATTATTTCGCCCTTTCGCAATTATAATATCAATGATTAATAGAAGGTGCCTATAAAAAACTCAAATTAAATGAATCACACCAAATACCGCATTGCTGCACTGCACTGCTGGGCAATTTGTCAACACTTGTCAACAGCTGAGATTTATTGCCCTGTGGCCCCATGCAGCTGTGTTAGATTTCGTTTGTCCGCGCTCGCATTCGTCAACTGGGCGTATGTATTTCTGCTACCTACGTTTAGTTGGACCAGACCTGTATATGGGTATGGTTAAATAAATATGGGTATTTTTCAAATATTTCAATGACGAGCTGGTTCTTCAATTGATATCGGAAAGACTATACAAGGAATTTTAAGTAATAAAATTGAAAAATCAATACAGATAAATCCTCATTCCGTTTATCTGTTTTATAATTTCCCCAAAAGTAATATCAATTTTTATTTGATGATATTGTTTTTTAACTTATCTAATTTTAATTTAGTAACAAATTATAAAAAAGTACTTTTGTAAATTGTTATTTTGGAACTTCAATCGACCACTTTGATCCATTTCGTGATTTGAGTCGCCAATTTAAATGACTGAAGTATTCCGAAATCAGAATAGTCATGTCTCATTGAGACATTAAATGTCACAAATACGCAAACATTTTCCTTTTCATTTGAAATTCCACAACCAAAATGATTATACAAAAATCAGTATCTATTTAGGAGTGAAGCTGTATTATACCTAAGATTCAGTTTTATTAGAAAAGTTGTTGTACAAAAAAATAAAATTGCAAATTTCAATTTCCATCTTCATTGCTATGTTGGTTTTCAAAAAGATCAAAAAGAAGAGTTAAAGATCAAATGGGGTGAATATTTTTCTAGGTCTTCAAAGATGCTTCATGTGCAGATCTCGTGGTGAATTGGGCAGTTGCAAGGACCCGTTCACGGTTAATGTAACACTGGTAGAAAATAAACAAGAAATAGGCGTTGAAACAGTACCTTGCGCTTCAGGGTGGTGTGGAAAAATCGTCGAAAGTGAAGACGCAGCCAAAGAAGGTAAGACTAATTATTATTTTGTACATGTTTCGTTATAATTTAAATCATTGACACCCTCAAAATTGAAAGAACCCTATATTTTAGTCTTAGGAACCTCTCATTTTTTATAAAATACCTACATTGAACCTTGAACATGTGCTTTGCAATATATTATTTTGTTTTAATTTTGCTGGTCTTTGTTACTAGAATATGGAGTAGCCACACAAAGGATATGTCTCCAAAGAGGACCCTCCGACAGTGAGGACAGGTGTGCTTATACAAAATGGAACTATAGAAGAGTGTTGATGTGCTTTTGTAGGGGCGATTTGTGTAATTCCAGCAGTAGGGTAATCCTGAATCCGATAGTTTTGATTGTGATCAGTTGTTTATATTTCTTTAGAGTTCTATAGATATATACGACAATTTTAACAATATTCGTGCCCAATTAAATTTAAGAAATTGGCAGAATTGTAACAAATTTTTCTTTCTTCTTTGAAGCATGCAATTTTTAAATTGGTATTTAAAAACATGATATACATAAAGTACCAGATTTATTAAAAAATATTCGTGCTTAAATCAAAATATTTTTATAGTCTTTCCTATATTTTATACTCTTGAAATCCAATAAATAATAAGCATATGTCTCCACAACGTTTGTATTTGCGCAAAGTTAACAAAGTTTTGCGTTTTATTTATTTTTGTTGATTCAATTGTATTTTAAGCCTAATTAATTTTTACATAAATATTTAAATAAATCCGTTTTTTTAATATCACATCAAACATACCTATAGTCCTATACTTACATTAATAGAGAATGTCTCACATTGCTGACAATGTTTCTCCATTATTATTTAAAGTATAAAAGCTACTGTAAAATCTTTTAAAATCTATTATACAAAGGTGTAGGTACATTTGTCATGATTTATGTAGCTTTATGGGAAAGAACATATTCCATATAAATTTTATTTATTACCTACATTTATTTTAGCTATTTCTAACAAAAAATATAAGTTAATATTTATTATTTACAGTATATTTTTTTTTAAATCGAGAATATGGTATTAAAATCTTCACAGATGATTCTGTAGTCTTCTGTGCTTCTTCAATCTAAGGAACGGAGACTGTTCTCTTAGGGAACCAAGGCGGTTTCCAGGTAAACCATTCGATCGTCTCTCTTCTTGGTTGCGAAGTAGGGCTCTAATATGGGGTATATCTCCGAAGAACAATTCCCTACTGTACAAATAACGTACTGCCCGTTTTGCTGCCAAACCAGTAAGCAGCAAAGGGTCAGGATATTCTGAAAAGAGACAAACATTTTCCTTTAGAAATTACAAACGCATAAAACAGATAGTTGTGCAAAATTTTAAGAGCATTTTTAAAATTTCAAAACATTAGTGAAAAATTACATATCTTTCCAGTTAATAATTTCCTTTCTTTTACCTAAGCCATTACTGAAATCTGGAGTGACGTATCCATTTTCTTCGAAACTGAAGCCGAAAGAGTTCGGTTTGGCGTATATGAAAGGAACTGTTGGTTCAGTCCAAACTGCTACATCTATGGTAAGGTCCCCATAGCTTCTAGCAGAACGTTGCAGGGGTTTTGTGGTAGATGACTCTATTTTTCGATTGCTCCTAACAAATCTGACTGGCACAATTCCTGTGGTCTGTCCGGCTTGAACCAGAGTGAACGATGTTAATATTATGGCGCAAGATATCCACAACTGTTGAAATAAAAGAAACATTAAAACAAATAAAACGAGAAACATTATTTTTCTTTCAAAATTATGCCTGATTAATGTACAATACGAAATATCTCTGCTTGAAATATTCTTCCATGAACTTAAAGTAGTTTTACAGGATAAAACATTTTATAGGTTAGTTTGAGAGCATAAAATAGCTACATTTTAACGCCAAAAAGGGTTCGATATCTTTTTTTGTTATCAAGTTATTCGCAAATTATTGAGCAAAAAATAAATAATGATATTGAATTGAGGAACACGACGCTAACGAAAGGACATTTAATTACCAAAACAAAATGCGTTTATAAAATAACCTACCTAAACACACGCGTCAATAAAAATCTTGAAAATAATAAAACCTATAAAGATATTGATATTATGTAACGAAAGCATAATAATGATGTTTATAAATGCTCGAAATGTATACCTACAAATTTTCAATACAGGAATTTAACCTTTGCTGCGTGCTTAGGTAGGTTCTTTTATAAATGAGTAACCATAATAATAATAATAATAATCAGTTAATAAACAACCATTTATTTTTTTCATTTTGTGTAATAAATATATATAAATAAGACACTTGTTCTTATTTGATAAAATTAAAGTAGTATCACTTTGTATAATTTCTTTTCCTATTTTGTCAAGGACTTTGGAATGGTTAGTATTTAGAATTTAGATACCATTAAGCTTCAGATAAGGCTTAAGAGTCACATGTTGGGGGAGAAATCAACAAGCTATATTTTCTTAGCATTCCAGATTTTATATTTCTAACAATGAATTAATTTTAGTATTTGACCTAACACCTCTAATAAATCACAGTAGGCGTTGGTATTAAGCTAGGTACGTTTTTACTTACAACATTGATCTTAAGGTTTTTTTAAATGATGAGTAATAAAGATAAAATGTTTTGTAGAAATTCTGCATCAGAAGTATTTGAAAATAGAAACGGATTGTATTGTACTAGTTTATTATTATTTTTTTCAAATTATAACACAACTAAATAAGTAGTTTTATAGAAATTATGTGTGACATTTCCAAGCACATGTGATCGATGTTGTGAAATTTTACAAATGCGCTCTCATAACATGTAAATCTAAATTTCTCGAAAACGGTTGGATATGTTGAAATTAAACGAAAGTATCCTTTACTCAAATAGTGTAGAAATAAAAAGTTTAGGAAGAAATAGTGAATATCATCTCCTGAAGGTTTTTACACAAGACATGGAATTTGAGTACTAAGTACATAAACGGAGCAATATCTTAAAAAGCTTTTAAGATATCGAGTAAAATGTAATGCCTACAAATCGACTCCCAGTATAATTGGAAACACAATTATTTTTTACTAAAATTTCAATAAATAAAACTGCAAAACGGTAGTCCTGACGCTACTAATTAATGATTTCAATCATCTTGTATTTGCTGTAATTATGTTCGGGAAGAGAAAATGTGTTCTTACAATTAATCACATTTACTGCAAAATTTGTATTGAGAACTTTTACTGACAACATTAAAACTGCCGTAAAACCTAACGCTTTTCCTCGTACAATTACGATGGGAATCAAAGAACTCTATAATCTACAGAGGAAGTGCAAGCATTTATTTCGGCTGACGTAATCTCCACTAATTATTAACTTTCTACGCGAGGGACAATATGATTTGAGCATCTCCAACAATAACGATTTGAAAGTCGAGAGAGCGGTCATAAAAAAACATCGATGTGACTGTGATTTACTTGCGGCAGTTTTATAACTATACCTATATAATTATTTTGATTTATCGTGTATTCATCTTCACGACTGTGAAGGCAGTGAATATGAGCGAAATTTGAAGGGGTGGCAGTTTTCACCCCCTTCCACCCCCTGAAAGTTCGATAGTAACATTTTCACTCTACTTTTGGACTCAAAATGTTCTACTCAATTTTTGAGTTGTATCTAAGAGAATGTTGACTAATGACACTTTCTGGTATTATTCATCTAAGGTAAAAGTTGATTACAGCTTTTGTGGCAACGATAAGAGCAATAAAATGTTTAATTTATATGTAAATCAAAGCACGTTTAAGGTTAAGCTGTTTCTCTACAACGGCAATTAATATTTAACGACCACCGGCAAAGAATACAGATCATCAATTTTGAAATCATCAAGATTGTCTTTTAAAAAATAAATACCATCTGAAACAACGCTTTTTCCGGTTAATGAATATAAGGATTTCACAATTTATATGCAACATTTGGAAAGGACCTTACAGTAGTCACATATTGGAAATCTAAACAATTTAACACAGTGCTGTAAGTATTATGGAACAAAAACAATTTTGACATTAATATTTTTTTCAGTTAAAAAGATGGAACATTTACAGTTCCGTAGCAAACGAATTGTCAATATTGATTAATGGATAACAGCAGATAGAAAGTTGAAAAGTTCAAAGTAAGACAGGGAGATTTGCAATTCATAAATGTAATCTAATTATTTAAAAATAAAAAAAAGAGTGTTAACTTTAAAAATTTACTGTAGCCGTCCTAATCAACCGATTTCAATTTTTTAAAGCTTGAGTGGTCTTTTCTATGTGAAAAAATTTTTCAAGTATCTAGATGAGTTATTTGAGGCTGTGCAACATTTTGAAAATTCGAAAAATTTTTTTTAAATTTTTTCAAAAATTTATTTTGCGAAAATTATCGAACCGATTTTAAAGAAATTTGGTGTGTTGTTTTATTATACTCTAAAGTTTTTTTTACCATTAGAATGCCCTCGGAGCAATTAAAATATTTTAGAAAAATTATCCAAAAAAACTTGATTATTTTGCCTTTTTTTCATCAATTATTGCTATTTTGCAACATCGGTAATAAATTTAAACATTTTTAACTTACAGTATTTTGTGCAAAATTCAATTCTAAAACTTTTTTTCCTCTTCAACAATCTGTCAAAATCCATAGGTTCCAAGATATAAGTAAAAAACTCAGATAAAACTGGTATTTTTTGAAATTTTTTAAACATTTTTGCAATTTTGAAAATGTTCCGGACCTCGCCCAGATCTAAGGATCTACACTTTTATTATGTGAGTTATACTGAAGGTATTCCAGCAAATAATAGCTTGTCCCCTCTTACATCCAAAAAGTGGGATATTTCGACAGATCCGCACTGGTCTACTAGTCTTTCTCTAATTAAATAGAATAATTAAATACTAAACAATTAAAGTAAGAGAGGCCTTAATAAGGAACCTTGAGGCACACCAACACTAATATGGTTACCTTCGAATTATAAGAGCTATTGACATAAAAAGTTATAAAACGTGTAGGTAAGGCAGGACGCTTTGATTTAAATTATTTTCAGTTCTTCCTCATCTTAAATGAATCTATATTGTTAATATTTACACTTCATCAATTAATCATTCTTAAGACTGCCCAGTTTCAAACTAGAGGTCAAGTTTTTTTCAAGACGAGAAATACACAAGAACCCTGAAGCAACATAGCCTTGAGGAATTCCTTTAACTTCCTCTGCAATAGGCATCTTTTATTCATTAACACATTTACTGATTCATGCATCAAAAAAACTGAAAGCTCATTAGGATCGTTAAAAAATGTACACAACAGTGGAATAGTGTTCTAATTTGTTAAAGGCTAATGATTTCTGCGTATAGCTAAGTGGGTGCCATCAAACCGTACTAGTACTTATAACGACAAAACTATAAACATAATTAACGGTAAGTAGTGAAGGTATGTACTTTGCTTCATTAAATAAGTGAATGGCAATATTTAGAATTATTTTCCTTGATTTACGACAGAGAGCTGATGGTGTGCGAATACCAAATATTGTGAAATATGGTCTTCATTTCACTTCATAACGAACGTCATAGTTACGTAAGATAATGGTGCTGAACTAATAAGCTGTATTCAATAAAAATTTTAAGTTTAGGTTAAATGTTGTTGTTTATGCTTTTTTCAATGTATCCAATAGTGTGGACGCAAGATTATATTTGGGTTTATATCTTTAAAGTTACTCATTTATTGTATTTCTATTTTTGCTTTGTCGGTTTGAAGTAGACCTAACATTATTAATTTTGCACATATTCCAAATTTCTTGCTTTTCATAAATTAAAAATGATAAACCGGTATTTAACAGAAAAATTAAAAGATTATACCTTCTCAAAGTTTATATCTTTTTTAATTTAAATTTTTAATATTTCATAAATGGAAGTATTATAATTAATCTTATTTTACAAATGCATCTACAGAATATTTAAGGTGGATGACATTATCGTATCGAGACCCACCAGATCACTGTCTACAGTCTACAGCATTGACTGCTACACTTTTCAAGAACATTTGTACTTACCTACCTGACGGCTATACTTATTTTTTATTTTGCAACCGCTTCGTAGTCATGAGCGCAAACGTAGCATGCCTTTGGCAAAAATAAATGTTACAGTTTCGAATGACGAATATATCAGTCAAGGTTTATCTTAATTGATGCTATAATTCAACTCCTTTAACAGGCCAGGACAGACTAGGATGTATTTCATAAATTATGCTATACTTTAAAAATAATTCATTATTTTGTAAAGGTTAAGGTTGTCAGGCTACTAACTTTTTAACCCACATGTATAATTAAATAGAGTACCTATAAATTATTTACTAGTTTTCGTTACAGTTTGGAAGTCTTGAGAATGATTAGCAAAGTAGGTGGGTATCCTTGATGATTCAGAATTATCTAATATTTGTCATTTCCTTCTATCTACGAATACATTACAATGAAAGAAACGAAAACATACCTACATATCGACCAAAATTTACCGCTAGAAGTCAGACAAATACTGAAATGTGAAACAGGAACTCAATTTTGAACAAATTATAAAGTAGGAAGATTAAGTTATTATTAACAGCAATATTAATTTGTTTAGAATAACAAAAATACATTTCTTTGAAATACATTATGCAGGTATACATAATCTGGTACGAATCTACCAATAAATTCATAAATCTCCTAATG